TGCACTATGGTTTCTAGGTGAAGAAGACACCGTGGCGACGGACGTGTGTGTGACGAAGGGGGCGATCTTCCAAAACCTGAGCGCGACCCAAGTGGCGCGAGACGAGCGAGAGAGGCAAAACGCCGCGTTGGAAGCCACCCGACTGAATGCAACGTTGGCCAAAGCCAAGCTGATGTACGAAAAGGGCGAAGCGATGGCGGCGGAGCGGGAAAAGGCCGAACGACTGCGGCAAAAAGTGGCCGCACACGACGACTACGACGAGTGTTTTCCCGATTACGAAGAGATGGACGACGACAAGAATGACGAAGCCAAGAAGAAGAAGAAGAAGAAGGGAGACTCGGACGTGGGCGAGACAGATCGAACAATCAAGCTGGCGGCAGATCCAAAGGACAAAGGCAAGAAGTTTGGTGATGCACTAGGCGGAAAGAAGGACAAATCGAAGCGCGATCGAGTACCTGGTGGCTCCAACGGGCCAACCCAGTAGGCCAACGTACATGTCTTTCGAGATACCAACACAACGTCAGATTCTGTGGCACCAGCGGTGCATGCTGACGTTTGACTTGTCTGGCAAGAACCAGCAGCTTGGACATGGCATTGCCGGTTGCCGTCGTCGTTGGCGACGAAATGTTGGTGGAATCGCCGCGTGGAGCACGTCCATGAGTGGATGGGTTGACTGAGGCAGCTCTGGCATCACAATCGACATGACCGCATGGCGTCGCGAGGGGTGTGTCCCCTTTCAACTTTGCCAGACCACACGTCCAGGATGTGGCGGCGTCGCTGGCGCCGCGTTCCCGTCATGTGTCGATTCAATGGCCAATCAAATCAGCCTCGACGATTGGATTGGAGGATATCGTCCAATGACAGCGATTAGTCCACCAGAGTGTTGGTCGATGCCGTCTTATCATGACCGTTCCGTCGTCTTCGATACAGCGACGGTCGGGAACGAGTCCCATCACGAAGGCATCGCGCTGTCCAAGGTATGTCGTTGCAGCAGTACTTGACCCACATTGCCAAGTACACCGAGTTGGAGCACAGTTTGTTTGAGCCGACCAAGGACGATCACGTGGTGGTACGG